TATCTGTTAGAGTAGTTTAGTTTCTTAATTTCAAATATTGTGTGGCTAGATAACAAACCAAATCGAAGTAATGGTACACCTAGAGACCCTACGGTTCGATAATTTTATTACTTTAGTTCCACAATACGACACTCGTTCGTTGGTTATACTTGTTCTTCAATTGGGAGAGTACTTTAGAGTGAGTCAAGGGGACTTCTAGGTTATTAGGAAAGGCTTAGGTTTGTTAATTTAGCCATTTTGCGTTGTTTTCTTTTCGCCTTCGCATTTGAAGGTGTTTTTTTGTTTGTTTGTGTAGGTGTAATCATGGATACCAATGGCTTCTCCAACATGTGGGGATATCCACCAACACTCAAATGGGGTTCCCCCAAAGCTTCATGGAGCAACCAAGATGGTGGAAGCCAAGAATTTTTGTTCTATGACTAACCTCCCTTCATTAACTTAAGGTCGATCGCCATAGATTGACCTTAAAGATGAGAGTGCACTTTGGGAAATTTTTGTCTAGAGTGAGCTAAAGACCATACATCCAAACCTTCTCCTACTATCTTCCATCCTCACTTTACGCCTCTTTTCCCTCATGGGCTAGATAGAGAAGTGGATGTCGCTTCTGCTCTAGCCATGAGATAGTGCTTAATTGCATATAGCCTTTAATCTTGTGAAACAAATGCGTGAAAAATCTAAATTGAAGCTCAAAAGTTTGAGCCCTTTGAAGTATGAGCACCAAAATAGAGTCCATGGTTTGCAAAGTTTTTTAGAGTCCCTTCAACACAAGTCACTTGTCTTAGCTCCACTAGTCGGCAATGTCCTAACTCGAGACTGTGATTCTCATCGAGATGTTTGGAAGTTTTCTTGTCTTTGATTGACCTCGTAAGTTTCTAGTTGACTCACGATCGACGATCAAGGTTACATATCTAGTGAGTTGCACTAGTTTTAGTTAGTTATGGTTTTAGATGAATTTGTTTAGTATACTTATGTTAATGTAATGCTAATCATGTACATGTTTCGATTAAAGCTTATCGTTACTTATTATAAATTGCATACATGTGTAAATTCAAGAACTTCCAGCTTCTTATTCGGTGGAATGGTCGGTTGACAAACTTTGACATTGGTATCGATTATGAAGATGGTGAATCCACTATGTTGGAAATTGAGTCCAGATTCACATGGCAAGAACTCCATGACATTTGTACAAACATGATTTGTATGGGCGGTCAGACGAGAGTTGGTAAAATTACTTACCAATATCCAAACATGAGTGTTGGCGGGGTTATGTACGAATAAGTTGTCATAAATGATGATGATGATGCAGTTACCATGATGTTACAATTCCTATCTGACAATAAGATGCGACTTGCAGAGGTGTATGTTGAGACCGAGGAGGTCGGTGACACTCATTCTCACCATTATTCTTATAATGATGGTTTGCAAGAGGGTACGAGTGGGGTGAGAGTTCAAGAAAATAAGGAGGAGGTGGTTTTGTAGGAGGGATGTAATGGAAAGAATACCTGCAACATGATGAGCCTGCCATTCGTTTAGCCTGACGGCGTTCAATGGCCTGCTTAGGAGCCAAAGTGGGCTAACATTGAGAATACCATTCGATCTGGGCATACTTCGCATGAGTGAGAAGACGATGTTGGTGGTGCTGGTCACGATGATCCTCCTGGCCTGAGCTATCTATTCGCCTCCACCAACGAGAAAAGTGAGGAAGAATTGAGATCAGTGAGCGAGAAGGAAGATATAGACGACGAGGTGGCGTTCCGTGCGCCACCTACGCCATACTACACAAAGGTTCCATCTCATCAGTTATATGGTCAACACAATGCCCCCGAATTTCTCCCAAAGCCCGTACACAATCCTAAGACCAATTTGGAGATGGGTATGGCGTTCACTTCGAAGAACGTTGTTGCTGATGCTTTTAGTGAAGAAGCCATGCAGCGGAATTTCAAGTGGACGACAAACAACTACATGTCATATGCAAGAATGCTGGAGAGGGTTGTATGTGGCAACTATGAGCTGCAAATACGAAGAGAAAGGGTGTTTGGGTAATTTGTACAGTAGAGAACAACCACAACTGCTCCTCGTCCATACTTTCCCAGGATCACCGCCAACTTAAAGCAAAGAAAATGGGTGCAACCATTAAGCACTTGATCGAGGCACAACCATATATCAAGATCAAAGCTATCATGAGTGAGGTGAAGGATCGACATTCTTACACGATCAGGTACAAGAAGGCATGGCATGGATAGCAAAAGACCATGACTGAGGTGTATGGTGATTGAGACGACTCATATGCTTTACTCTCTAGAATAATGGTCGCAATGGAGGAGTCCAACCCTGGGACTATTTTCGTGTCATGGTACAACAATGTACAAACTGAAGATGAAGTTCGAGTACAGAATGAGTTGATGTTTCATCGTCTATTTTGGGCATTCAAGCCATGCATTGACCGGTTTGCTTTCTGCATTCTAGTGATCCAGGTATATTGCGGACTAATTAATGTTCTACTAGTTCAACTTTTTTTTACTATGTAATAGTTGTACTAATTATATTTTTTTTAGCATGTAGATAGACCTTTTCTTACTGGGAAGTACAAAGACACTCTTCTCATTGCCACAGGTGTTGATGGAAATCTGCGGATTTTCCCCCTGGCATTTGCATTAGTTGAAGGAGAGAACAACTAAAGTTGGACATGGTTCTTTGACCAGCTACATGAGCACGTCACACAGCGGCAGGGTATCACTATCATATCCGATTGTTGTAGATAACTAGACGGTACGGCGTTCCTATCAGATTGTTGTGTCAAATTGCACAGGAGCGATGTGTTGCTTGACGGCTAAATACCTCGTACCCCTTGGCCCAGGATCGATATACAATCGTGGATCGTATATCTCGGTACCCATCTATAAAAATATTGAATGAAATCAAATTATTTCAATATAAAAAATATAAATCACAAAAAAAGTAGGTACCCTAAGAGCCTATTCGTCCATTTTTTGGCGGAAGCTGGACGTAGTTTTGACGGGTTTTTAGAGGAGAGGGTTGAGTTGTAGGAAATAACTCAAGGAATTTATTATGTTGTGAAGGATCGGCCTTAATTGCAACTACATACCATAACTGGAATTCCTAGAATGGAGGAAGGGAGGGAGAAACAATTGTGAAGTGTGGTGGAAATGGGGGAGGAGAGGGCTAAATTTATAGGAAGAGGAGACCGCTAGAGAGAGAAGCAGTGAGTTCATCGCAGCCGTCCAATTCAGCGAAGACACCGCATTGGTCAAAAGAGCTGATGCGCGTGGATTGCTGACATGGGACACTATGGGTAGTCGGATTTGCGCGTGAACCGAAATCTGCCCAACACCCGTGAGAACTGTGAGAACTACACTATTTCGCAGCTGTAGATCCATCCCATTAAATTTAGCAACCTCATTGGAATAAGTGTGGCTTTACACTTTTTTTTTCTTTTTGGTGAGGTGGCTTTACACTTTCCGTAAATAAACTTTTTCCTTAGGGTAAATACAATATATTAGCCCCAATTATTATGAAACGGGGAATTATAGTTACAACTATGTAAATTCAAATTATTAGCCATAATTATTGTTGTGGGTCAAAACATGACTAACTGTCTGTTACTATTATTGAATTTTTAACGGAGTAGGCCACGGCAGCAGCCACGCCAGGCTGCTTTTAATTTATAATTTTAAAATATAAAAGTTTAGTCAGCATTACTAACAGAATTGTTAACAGAGAGTTAACGTTTGGCTAATAATCTGTATTTCCATAGTTGTGGCTATAATACCCCGCTTCATAATAATTGTGGCTAATATATTGTATTTACCCTTTTTGTTATTTGCATTTAATGACATTTCTTTTACATACCATTTGATATAAATGAATTCAATAAGTTTTGAGAAATTCATTTTGAAATGAAACATTTTTGTGTTTGTTATATAAAGAATTCATTTTCAATTCTAAATTTTGAATTCTATGGAATTGATACTAGTTATAGCAATTCTGACGAATTGAGATGAAATTTCCAAATGAATTCTACAACTATTTACTAAATATAATAGAATGACATAATTATCCTCTTAATTAACTAAATTACTTATATATATGACGTACCAAACACATGAATTCATTTGACAATGAATTCTACACGACAATTCATTTTATTTCTAAAGATTTGAATATGGCATACCAAACACAAGATTTCATTTGACAATGAATTCTACACGATAATTCATTTTACTGTGAAGCTTCGTTTGAATAAGAAAGCGGGGAATCTCGAATGACTTCTTTGAAAACCGGCTCTATTGCGAGAGATTTAATTGAACGGCGAGGAGGGCTCAAGAGTTTACTTATCAGCGGAAAAGCAGTCTGTTAATGTATTTTGGTGTAATGGAATATCACATCAACCCATATTGCATTTTCATACAACATATTTATATTGGTTAATGCTCAAAATAGAAAAACCTTTTAAGTTATGTGCAGAAATCGCAAACACTTATTGTATACTTGACAATTATAGCCATCCGTCAATTTTACCGTTTAATTTACAAAGGTGGCTAACGGTAAATTATACATAGGATCTAACATGTTAATCATATCAACAAAATCAATTAAACGAAAATAATTTAATTTACGATTAAAAATATCCAAAAACATTTATTGGAAGTCACAAGGTGTCATTTTTTTCATTTGGTTTGTCCTATTTTTCAATTTTTTTCTTTGCCTAAACTTATCTTTAAAATTCTAAGTACAACATTTGAAAATTGATCTTATATAAGTGTGTGAATTGTTTCTATATGTTGATCAAAGTACGCCATGTTATTTGTGTATAATGTTTAGTCTATCTGTCGTGTTGTCGCTCTGTTATCAGTAGGAGAAGACTCGAAACGAGATACGTTCGTTTAGTCATTTAGCACAAACTTAACTGCCCTAGCGAGAGAGGCCCTCACCTTCGTTAACATCCAATGTCCCAAGATCACTACAAGACAGAATAGATATCCCATATCCTCCTATGCATATATTATTACGCATAAGATTTGAAATAATTTATAAATGTAATAAACAATATAATTATTTTTTTCATATATCTTGACTATCTTGACTAAACGGGATTAAAATGATTATACCATTAATCCTCAACCCACTAGCTCAACCAGGCCAACAGACTAAACAAAGTTGACAACCTTACAGTTACAAATACAGAACTAGCTAGGTCCCAACTTATCCCACTATCCCAGGCTAAGTCGGAATTTATGGAGGGCAACACCCAATTTAGTAAATTACAGTAGTAACTCAGGGCAGAGCAGGCAGAAGAATCATAAAAACAGTTCCCTGCTGTCGACAAATTTACCAAAGCACGTAAAGATAGTTTATATATACCAGTAACAAACTGACCAACTTTGGCAATTAGGTATAAACTGTATACAAAGATATTTCTCCAGAACAAAAGATATGGGAGAACTTTACCATTCACATTGATGGTTTGTAGTCGCTACTCTGAATCAATAGCCACACCCTAATGAAGTGGGGCACGCCAATCTGGCGGATTGGGAGCTCCTAGCCCAGTCCAGGCGGTGGCACAGGGTGCACCAACATTTCTCGATCCCCGACAAGGCTTGTACAATTGGACATCTCTGCACTGGGGTTGGACGGGGTATTTGACACTACCTTGATAGGGTATACTTCTGTGACTTCTTCAGTTCCTTCGTCCAAGTACACTACATCCTGCATTGTAAGTTGGTGATATTCCACTACTTCCCTTAGGAACCGATTTTCGCGAGCACAAACTGAATTCTCATGTGCCAACCGTGCCTTCTCTGCTAGCAGTGTCTCAAGTTGAAGCCGAATCTGGGGTGAATCACAATAATCAATCCCAATTCATAGACAACTGACAACAATCACATGTTAATATACAAGAGATCTTCATGCATAACAATGACAGTTCCTCATACGAAAAATGAAGGAAATACTGCAAAAGAAAAAAGTTGTACAGCTAAGATCTGTAGTTGGGATTTCTAGATTGGGTAGGAGTTGTAAGGCTCAAGTTGCAGACTTCTTATATCTCACTTTCGTTTGGATGAACTTGGCAAGGAGTTCAAATTGGATGAATTAGTAAGGTTTGGACCTTGACTAAAGCCAGAGAGTCTCCTCCTCGAGATATCGCCATTCCTGCAGCTTTAGAAATAACCTGGCCCTCTCATATATCAAGGATAAACCCTCTTCTTAGCAAAGTAGTTACAATTGCTAGCAGTTCACAAGCTCTTAAGAGTTTATGAATTTACCTAGGTTATGATCTTAATTTCACCAAAACGTCAGGACATAAGATCGGGTCAAACTGCGAGTTAAATCTATAAAATCCTTAATAGATCGGTTTTAATATTATAGATCCCATTAGGAACACAGAACAGGATACTTGGATGCAGTTCAGACCAGGTTTGGTCAAGTTATCAACCTTGAAAGGTCGTTCTCCAAGTGACTATGTTTACTTTTGTTTTAAGAGTGGAATTTTCTTTCCCCGTGACCTGTCTATTTTTCTAAATTAGTAATAGACTTTCTTAACACTTAAAGCTCGTGCCTTGTTCTATTGGAGGTTTTAAGTAACTGCAACATATATTTCATCATTATTGAGTGCAATTTTTTTCAAGAGATTTCAGTGGAGATCTGATTCTTACAGAAACCAACTTGATGCATGCATCAGCAATTTGAATTCAGCATGCAATGGCCTTTTGCCAATTACCACTGAAAACTGGAGCAAGCACATCAAGCAATAGCAAGGAATCTTCCATATCAAAGATAGATATGAAATTTCAGTCATTCGCAATATGAAGCCAACAGTGTTACACTTGTCAGTCTCCTACAAGTTATTCAGACAAGCTTTGCAACAGTTCTTCAAAATTCACTAACTTTTGTATTCCTTTCTTTCCTATGATTCAGATATCTATATTCACTGGGTCTCAGTTGACTGTTGCAAGCTACATCTGATAAGGATGCAAAGCTAAAGTGTTACACTTGTCAGTCTCCTACAAGTTATTCAGACAAGCTTTGCAACAGTTCTTCAAAATTCACTAACTTTTGTATTCCTTTCTTTCCTATGATTCAGATATCTATATTCACTGGGTCTCAGTTGACTGTTGCAAGCTACATCTGATAAGGATGCAAAGCTAAAATGTTTACTGATCAGGTCGGAAGTAAGTAGCTTAATCTCCTTGGATCATAAACAAGTTTCACAGATTCAGGCAGGATCTTCAAGATTATACTTTTCTAGGTTCTGTTAATGAAATAATTATATCGTAGAAGAAGCCAGAGTTAAGGAAAATACACATGAGGAAATGTACTGGCACTAAAGAACACCATACCAGATCATCATCTTCCAGGTTATCTCCCCTTTCGTGACTCTCTCTGAGGACTTTATTTTCCTCCTCCAGCTGAGCACACCTTTCCTTGGCAAAAGCTAAATCAGCTTTAACAGTTTTCAGCTCCCGAAGAAGTAGTTTTGCTTTGGCAGCCATTGCCATAGCAACCTGCAAAGCACAGGCAAATTGTGCACTTAGAAATCTCAACCATTTAGCCTAGTTGGAGTCTCTTTCTACTTGTAACTTACGTATTTAGATTTGATAAGAAAGGCACATATATAATATGAATCGGACTTTGAGCTGAATCAGACTCTATAATATAGTGGGAACCTGAAAAGGATTTAGCCATTCTCAATTTTATAACTTACAAGCATATTGATGTACTCTTAACACTCTCGGTGAATGATCTATGCCATGATTGTTTTCTAAGATGAAACCATATATATATTGATGACAACCACCCACCCATGTAATGAACTTGACTTAATAATAACTAGTGACACAGCTGCCACCTTACGTCGCGAGATGCCTTCAATTGAAGCTCTAGATCAGCTTGCATCTGGGCCTGCACAGGTGACTGCACTGGAGGTTGCTGCCATGCAGTAGTTTGACTGTTTGTTGGGTTCTTTGTGGCAGTACCACCAGGCTTTTTCCTGATATGCTTGCGTGTTTCTTGGATGATGTCAGCTGTTCGGTTCTCCACCTTCATGAGGCCCTCCTAGAAATTTGAATCAACATTGTCAAAAAGAAAATGGATAGGTAACCGTAGAAACAGAGACCACACAAGAGTTTCCAACATAAAAGAGACACAAGGCAACACCAGGTGCACTTTTAACTGTACTTGCACTTCAAAGGAGCAATCTAGATTTCAAGACATGAGTTGATGTAATAAGTACATGCATGAAACCTAAGTACTATATCATGCTCCAAGACTAACTAATTGAAATAACAGAACATCCTACTGTAATTGTGGATTCATCCCCCACAGCTACATAGCTAATCCATATTTAAGAGATACTGTCGGGGTGAAAGATTTTCTGGCAAAGATGCTCAATTTAGATGAGAATAAGTACAGGAGAAGCCCCGTTGGTCTTTTCCAGGAACAACACAAGTGATTGTCAGTTGCAGAAAGAAGATGAATATGACTTTAAGAGTAGTCCATGTAAGCAATCAAACCTCAACGGCATTGCCAATGTAGTTAATTGAAGACGAAATTGCATTGAGCCCTTTGCGTAACACAGGACCTTCTTTCTTTCTATAGCCTCCATTTAGTGGGGGGTGGCGAGTGTCACTCTGCAGCATCACAATAGACATCAGAGAAAAAGAAAAGGCATTCCTGCTCCAGTATACTAAAATGTAGAACTTTGCGGACACAACACAAATATATAACTATTAAAGAGCAACCACCAAGAACATAAAATGTAAGAGAAGGCAGCAAAAATTCAACCTTCGGCAAGGAGCTAGCCGGTTCAGACATCGGCTGAGGATCTGGGGGAGGAGAGTGAGGTTGCCGGTCCTGTCGGGGCACGAAATCATGGTCTTGTTGGTACTGGGGTCGGGGTTGCTGATTCTGCTGCTTCCCATTTTCATTTTCATTAGCATCATCGTCGTCGAGAAAGGATTTAGCTTTCCTAGCAAGAGAACCCCAAAAACCACCTGGTTTGGGATTATGATTGGGATCGGGATCGGGGTTGGGGTTGGGATTGCGATTAGATTGGTTGAAGCTACTCATGGAAGTATAAGCGTGGGGACTGAGGGCGGAATCCTGTATCAAGCAAGGGAACTAAGAATTGGGACCAGAATCGGGAAATGGGAAACAAATCCCACAACAGGAAATCGAAAACCCAGCAGGGAAAGGGGGTGAAGACAATACCTTAAAATCAGCAGCAGCAGCGGTAGCAGGAGCATTGGCGGAGAAAGAAGATGAAGAAGAAGGAGCAGAGGAAGGAGAGGGAGGCAAGGTGTAAGCGGAAGAAAGTGAGGACTCACGGAGGGTTTGGGCGGCGGAGGATGCTCTGATGGCTTTGGCGGCAAGTCCGGTGGCAGTCGAAGTTGAATCTAGCGCTGCTCTTTCCTCGCCTTCTCTCCCCTTTCTCTCATCCCTCTGATTCTCGTATGAATAATAGTAAGACGGCGGCGACGGCTGACCCCTTCTCCGATATGCCATACTGAACCGATCTAACTATCTCCCCTCCCCTCCCCTCAAGTCCAATTCATGGGGGAATTCTCAAAAAGTTTCCGAAATTCCGCTATCCAGTGAAAGAAAATGAGAAAGAAAGAACAAGTAAATGAGTCGCTCGCCCCTTTCAGCAGCCTGCTCACTTCCTTCTTCCTTCAAGTCAGCCTCGAGTCAGAGAGAGAGAACTCCTCTCCCAGTCTGGCAATGGAGCGGGTTGGGGGCCTAAACCATCCCCATTCCCATCCCAACAAGACCGTCGTCCAATGATAATTGGAGGCCCTATTCGACAATTTTAAACGTGGCCCCAAAATTTTGTCTCGCACATTTATTACAAATAAAATTTATTAAATAATAATAAAATTACACAAGTTCAGAAAATGATTACAAAAGTAATAATGTTATCCATCATAGTTCAAAGAGTAACAATTGTCTAGTATTATTTGAAATAAAATCTTTTATTAGCCCTTCTATATTGTCTATGTAAATATTTACAAACCGAATTTATTGAGTGCAATATTTCATACACAAATAACTAATGACACAATAAACAAAAAATTACCAAGTTCATTTGTGCAAAAGATTTTGTTTCACTTCTAATTTTCGAATCGCCATCAAGATCGGCTACTAATATTCAAATTTATCAATTCTCTATTTTCTTTTACGCTTAGAACTACCTTTTTCAAAATTTTGGGTTGACGTAATTAAAAATTGAAATCAAAGATTAATGATTTCAAATTTCCAATCAATATTAAGTCACATACAAAAGAAAAAGGAAAAAGGATAGAACTTAAAACAAGCTGATTAAGAGTTTGTATAGTATGGATGAACATTTATTAGGATTTAATTAAAATTGGGCGTGAATAATTAATATTTAGGCATTGGATGGTTTTAGAAAGTTGAGAAATTTTGGAGAAAGAGAAGAAGAGAGGGGTAAATAAACTAACTGCTAGCTTATACACATCAAATAACTTCCAGCTGAGTGGTTGAATATGTTTTGAATAAAAAGGGGGTCTATGGTTCGATTCACATCGCCTGCCCTTTATATATATATATAAAGGGCAGCTCCGCGGCCCAGGTTGGGTGGGCCTTGCTAGGGGTGAGCTCCGCCGCATTATGAGGCCCAGGTATACTCTGGCCCGCGGCCTACGAACTTCTATTATGTGAGGCCCCAAAAATTTGAGGCCCTGTGCTGTGGGTCTAACCAGCACTGGGCCGGCCCTGCATCCCAATCTCCACTTTCAAATACCCAAACTCGTACTCCTTCCATACTCATACCCATACATATGTGGGAAAGGTTTTGCAAACCCTTCCCAATACCTGTGGATTTTGGGTACCCATAGGCAATACCCGCCTCGTACATTTAACATCATTATACCTAAGACTTTACATGTAAATTTTCAATTATAATGGTAAACAAACCTACTATATCGTTAAGTCAACAAATATGCAATCATTCTTAATACAGTTCAAATCGTATAATCCGAAATATCTATTAATCAATAAGATAGATTATACTATTTTCTAAATAAGTAATTTCTAACTCTAATACATCTACGCAATAATACATAACTAACATAATTATCTTGTTAACAAGAGGGAAACATAAAAGAACGAAGGGAGAATTGACGTAAAGGAATTAGATTTGGATTTGGGTGGCCACTCATTTGCATTTCTACTATATATTATATTAAGTTATATCCACTATCATTGATAGGTTTCAATTTGATCAATGTATTTTTTATATGTGAAGAAATATTTTTGGTGGGTCGGGTATGGTTTTGCAGATTTTACCCATAGCCTCCCCATGCTCAGTCAATGCAGGAATTCCTCGCGTTGACTGGATGGGGGCGGTCACCTACCCGCGGGCATGGGTTTGATTGCCATCCCTAAAGCAGTCAAAATCGGAATTTGAGTTAATAGTAATAATTTAAGTCTTAAACAAATGGAGGAAAATTTTAGTTTTCGAGGAGATTATTTAAAAGAGATTTAGCACCTTTTTAAAGAATTTTGGGACTAAGCAAGGACTATTTTGGAGGATGACCGACTAAAGTTAGTATCTTTTCAGATTATAGGTTATCTAGGTACTGTTGGCTGAGGTCCACTTACTAAAGAGGGTAAATTTTATGCCTGATGGTATTTAAGTTTTTGAGATTTACTACTATGTGACATATCTGTCTATGTATGTCTATATGATGCATGTGATTACATGTGAATTATTGTTATACGTTATATTGCATGTTTTACTTATGAGTAAGTTGAAGTTTAATAAACATGTTTATCTTTAAGAAGTACTTCACCTTCACTGAAGGTGAATTAGTTTTACGAGTTTTTAGTCACTAACATCAATGCATTGCTCGGTTGAGATTTTTTAGATAGAGCAACAGTTATGCTCTTGAGACTTTTAAGATGAATAATCATAATATTGAGAATCGTGGGGATGAATCATTATCGCTCCCCCTACTAAGTTTAAGTGTTAAGAAAAGTCTGGATGGGCTCTCATACGTATGAGTAGGGCAACCGGACTAGCTAGTGAGGGATCCCTGCGTCAGTCTAAAAATTTAAGTTGAGATTTGAGCTTTAAGAATGGAGGGTAACATTAACTCTCATACAGGTTTAAGTACTATACTAGTGATTTTTAAAACGTAAGGGCGTAGACTAACCCCAACTCACTCACCATATCATAGAGGAGGAGATCGTAATCAGCTAGTTCGTGACCAACAAGTTAAAGGGGCTCAACACCACCATCGCTAAGGGATGTCGCACCAGGCGTCAGAGTTAGCACTAGAGAACTCAATAAGTATGGAGACTATGATTATGAGTTAAAGAACTGTAGATTCTTCATTTGTGTTTTAGTAAGATTTAAGTTTTGGCCACATGTTTTGGGTCTTTCCCTTAAGATACCAAGTTATTTAAGATTGGTACTTTTACATAAGGTTATGCTATTTGAAATTTTTAAGTATACCCCGGGTAGAAATGTCTTAAGCCTGGTTTCAAAGTAGTAGAAATGTCTTACCAAAAATTTCAAATGTAATATCCTACTACTTTGAAACTTATCCTACTACTTTGAAACTTGGAAAAGACATTTCTATCCGGGGTATACTTAAAAATTTCAAATAGCATAACCTTAAGTGAGAGTATCAATCTTAAATAACTTGGTCTCTCAAGGCAAAGCACTAAACATGTGGGCAAAATTTGAATCGTAATAAAAAAAACAAAAGAAGAATCTACAATTCTTAAACTTGTAACCACGAAGTCTCAATAACTTAAAGAGTTCTCCAGTGCTTACTCTGACGCCTAGCTTGACATCCCTCAACGATGGTGGTGTTGAGCCCCTTTAACTTGCTGGATATTTACTTGCTGATTATGATCTCCTCCTCTACGATTTGGTGAGTGAGTTGGGGTCAGTCTAGACCCTTACGTTTTAAAAATCTCCAGTATAGAACTTAAAACTGTACAGGAGTTAATGTAATCCATTCTTAAAGATCAAATCTCAATTTAAATATTTAGACTGACATGAGGATTTCTCACTAGCTAATCCGGTTTCCCTACTCATACGTATGAGAGCCCGTCTAACCAAATCCAATCCTTTCTCGGTATGTTCATAAAATATTCGATTCGTGCGGATTATTATCCCAACTAAGGAAGAGATGTTGGAAGAATTGCCACATATGAAATTGAGTACAATTTTGCAAAGAAACAGCCCACTTGTTTCTAGAGAAGAGATAAAAAAAATTAAGAATCTGTATTAAGAATTATGTACAAAATAATATGGAAATTTTTTCTAGTGTTGAAGGAATTTCACGTTTAAAGATTCAAAAATGAATCAACGTGATTCTGGTCATAATATATATGGGATTTCCAAAATTATTAATAGAGGGTAAAAAACTTAGTTAGGGGAGTCGTAACTACTCATCCCCCTAACATCTTAAAGTTATCGTGGAAGTCGTAGCGATTCATCCCCACGATTCTCAAGAGTATGATTATTCATCTTAAAAATCTCATGAGCACAACTGGTGCTCTATCTCAAAATCTCGATCGGGCAAATGGACTAATGCTAGTGACTAAAAACTTTTAAAACTATTTCACCTTCATTGAAGGTGAAATACTTGCAATATAATGTATAACTGGAAACGTAACTCACATGTAATCACATGCATCATGTAGACATACATAGACAGATATGATACATATAATAGTAAATCTCAAAAACTTAAACACCGTAAGATCTAGAATTTATCTCATTTACACTCACCTCGAAACAAATGATTCTCAACCTCTTAATCAGTGAACCTCAGTCAACAGTACCTCAACAACCTATCATCTGAAAAGATACTAACCTTAGTCGATCATCCTCCAACTTAGCCCTTTTCACATAATATTTTCGTCCTCTTTGCTTAGTACCATAATTCTTTAAAAATTCCTTAATCTTTTTTAAATAATTTCGTAAAAAATTAGAATTTTCCTCATTTTTTTCCAAGACTTAAATTATTGCTATTAACTCAAACTCCTTCACTTAAATCGCACAAACAAAAAATTATTTGCCCTCTTTAAACTTCATATTCGGACTTTAAATAATTCAAAACATTTTTCAAAATTACTAGCCATAAATTACACCTTAATAAATCCATTTTTCCTATTTAATTTTTACATAAATAAATGCTACAACTCATTTACCAATGTATACAATTTTGTTTCTCAATTTCCTAACTTACACCTAAAATTATAGTATAAAATAATTTATCAAATTATACATAAATATTCAAAAATTAAATTAAATTATTAAAATGGACTTTAGACTAATTTTTATAAATAGTAAACTGACTAAAAAATTGTAAGAATGAACTCTCAATAACCATAAGACACTCTAGTTTCGGAAGAGATTATCAAATACAACTAAATGTCTCGAATAACATTTTTAATAATTTTTTTTCTTTTGATAATCAACCTGATTTTATTTAATGGATGGTGTTGTCAGTACAATCTTGATCAAGTACTGATGGAAGAAAAACGGGAGGCCTAGCGGCCCATTCCTCACAGGTTTCCCAGTTGCAGTTTGCATGGGCCACTAGATGGGCCGCCGAATTTGCTAGTCTTTTTGCGAAAGCCCAGCGCACCTTATCTCCTCCGATCTCATCTGCCACCTCTTCTATCTCCTTCACGATCATCCCCATCTCCGTCAAGCTTCTATCCTCATTTCCGATTTGCAAGAAGAGCCCCTGGCAGTCAGTCTCTACTATGGCTGGGAGTAATTGATGACGAATGGCAGTGAGAAGACCAAATAACAGTGCCTTTGCCTCGGCGTGCTCTGGTGTCCATTGGATTCGCCTTCTGGTCACAGCCTCCATGACAAATCCCTCCGCCGCATCTCTTACCACCATACCCAGTCCCGTGCCTTCATTCGCCATCACCGCTGCATCAACGTCACTTTGTACCACCCCTCCGGCGGCGGCGTCCAGGTAACTCTCTCGCTCCTGCTAGGTCTCTCTTCCCTCTCTCTGTGTGATTGGAATTCCTCCAGTAGATCCAGGGCCCGAGGGACAATTTCCCAGTCCTCTAATTTATGATTGTTGAACATGTGATTGTTCCTTTCGGCCCATAATTTCCAAAGAATCATTCCCAGCCTGCTTAACACTTCATCATCCACTCTTTCCATAATTTCGCAAAGCCAGCTGCCACTTGATAGCTCTTCTCCTGATTCGAAAAGTGGCCTGAACTCTGTGGGTCTCCAGATCCTAGTCGCCCAAGAACATTCCCTGAAGATGTGGTTCTGTGTCTCAACTTGATTGCAATATGGGCATTCAGTTGGAGCCTCTTTCTTTCTTCCTTCTATGTTTTTCCCTGTAGGTAATATGTCATGAGTGAAACGCCATAGAAAAGTTTTCACCTTTGGGGGAATGTTTAAACCCCACAGCCGTTTCCAATTCATGGGGTCATAGATTTCCCCTGTCAATTCTTCAGCCTCGTTACCTTCTTCCTCATCATTTGCCCTCTTCCTCCATAAATTGTAGGCAGACTTTACTGTATAGATACCTGTCCTCTCCTCGCTCCATATTCGTCGATCTACTGCTGGCTGTCTTGGTATGGGTATACCTTCAATTCGAATCTGATCAGTATTATTGAAATGACGTTGGAGCAGGGATCGTTTCCATGTTCTAGTTTCAGGATCAATTAGATCACTCACCCGATTGCCCTCGTCCAGGTCCACCCTCGGTGAGGTCACACGAAAACCATTCTCCTCCCCACCTGGAATCCATTTGTCCTCCCATATATTGATGTTAGTTCCATTACCGAGTCTCCATCGTAAGCCCTGCTTTACTAAGTTCTTTGCAGCCATTAAACTACGCCAAGTATAACTCGGATTGTTTCCTGTTGAGGCCTCCAAGATATCAGAGTTTGGATAGTACTTAGCTTTCAGGACTCTCGCAACCAGGGAGTCCGGATTGTTCATTAAATTCCAGACTTGCTTCCCCAGGAGAGCTAGGTTGAAACCGCCTAAGTCTCTGAAGCCAATACCCCTTCTTCCTTGGGTTTGCACAACTTCTTCCAGGCTTTCCACGGAATTCGTTTTTCCTCCCCCTTTTGCCCCCACCAAAACGTTGAAATCACTCTTCTGATCTCATCTAGCACCCCATCTGGCACCCGAAAAGCAGACATGGTATAAGTGGCTTGGGATTGAGCCACTGATTTGATTAATACTTCTTTTGCTGCAATGGAGAGCGTCTGACTTTTCCAATGCTTAACTTTCTTCCTTACTCTGTCGACCAGCACTCCAAAAGCTGCTTTCTTCTGTCTGCTGATTCTTGTGGGCAGCCTAGGTATTTCGTATGCTCTTCAACTCTTCTCATTCCTAAAATATTTCCCAACTCATCTGCTTTCCTTTCTCCAACACTCGGGGAGAAGCTGATTTCAGATTTTTGAAGATTAATCTTCTGGCCCGATTCCATTTCATAGATCTTAAGAACTTCCTTTATTCTTCCACATTCCGTAGCTGTAGCTCTTGCAAACAGGACGCTGTCATCTGCAAAAAGCAGATGGGAGATGGCTGGTCCCCTGTTTGAGACTTTTAGCCCTTGAATTGTTCCTCTGTTTGCTTCTTGTTGAAGTAAAGCTGACAGACCTTCTGCACATAGCAGAAATAAGTATGGTGACAAAGGGTCACCCTGTCTGAGCCCTCTGCTAGGTCTGAATTCCACTGATCTATGGCCATTTACCAGTATAGAATAGGTTACTGTACTAACACAGTGCATTATCAAATTCACCCATCTCTCGTTGAAACCCATCTTTAGCATTATATCTTCTAAGAACTTCCACTCCACCCTGTCGTATGCCTTGGATATGTCGAGCTTTGCAGCCATGACACCTGTTTTAGCCTTCTTCTTGTTCTTAATCGCATGGAAGCATTCAAACGCTATCAAGACATTATCCAAAATGTTTCTTTTCGGCACAAAAG